CAATGATATAAGGCGTATACTATAACTCAGCAAATCCTAAAGGGTTTAATAATTAAGTTTAATAATTATAAACAGGCGATTGAAGTGTTATCAACTATACAAAGGTATATCTGTCCAAGATACCATGAGCATGTACATCTAATTTTTATAAAACAAAAGTTATACGAAGTGAAATTCAAACGTAATAGTTATATTTGGCTGGAAAATTGCAATCACAACTAGCTATTGTCCGTGAGCTTAAACATCTAAACACCTTAAAGTGAATAAAATGTTTTTGTATCGTACCATAAATCATTATAATAGTACAGGCAGCGTCGTCAATAGTGGATGAAAATAAATTGCAACATCATCTAAAATGGTTCGGAAGTTAAAAGCCCGACTTAAATGAAATCGACATCGTAGTGGTAATCAAATGAAGAAAGAACTGATGCATCCGACGCATAAGTTAGACTTGGAAGAGCAAAGGAGTTGTAGTGCTTGCATTAACATGACGAATTTCCAAACATTTTGTTCTGTGATGAGAAACATTTTCCAATTGAGCAGTTTATAAACTCTCTAAACTAAACGCACTATCGTTCACTGCCATTTGAGACTACCAATGGCCACCTGAAGTAATTTTACTTGACCAGTAATGGTATGGATAGCTGTGACCGCCGATGGATGCTCTCCAATTTTTTTCATCGACCCTGGTGTCAAAAACAATGTGACAAATTATTGGGAACCAGGAATGATTAAAAAATCATGTTCCATACTACAATTCGTCCACATGAAATTAAAGGTTTTAGAATTCGCCACTTGCAAATCCGATAGACTATTCCATCTAAGCCATTTTGGAGAGCTAGATGAGAAGTAAAAAGTATGCCAGTACGGATGCGCTGAAGAAAGTCATTGTTCAGAAATGGGCCTAAATACTGGAAGATCATATTTGTAAAGTATGTAACTCATTTTTTAACCGTGGAACTGCTAGAACGGATTCTGAAATTTTGATAATTTTCACCAATTTTTGTAGTTTAATTCAAAAAAAATAAAAATAAAAATAAAAATAATTTCACACATAAAAGATATCTAATCATAGGCTTAAATATGCAACACTTCAATTGCTTAACCCTGTATGTTTATATATTGTCAAGTAAATGTTTGAAAAATAAATTTTTTGTTTAACAAATCATTAAATTCATTTTGCGGACATTTTCCTAACGAAGATTTTATATATATTTTACATACAATAAATATATGTAAAAAAAAAATTAAGTGCAATTACTTCGGTCAAATGGCACCAATAGACGTTGAGATCTTTTTGCTTTAATGTGGTGTAATTTATGTTTAACTCTTATTACAAAACGATGGCGCTTTTCACTTCAATACTGCAGCAATTTTCACTGAAACTTTTTTATTTATTTTTTATTATTTTTATTTTTTGCTGAACCAATCTAAAAGTTCACGCTTCGTGGTCAAATGCATTTGTTACGTTTCAGTATCCAATTCAGGCACTCCACTCTGCTGCATTTCCAGTGCATCGCAGTTAAATTTTCACATATGAAAATGGGCCTTTGCAACTTCTTTCAGTATCTCGCATATATAATTTTTGTAATTAAGCCATTCAACTTTCAGTCTAATTACGTTGAATGACAATTGAGCAGGCAGAGTAAAATTACACCAGAAATTTAAATATTATGTGGGATCAATTTCTTTTATCTTGGACCCTTCATAAGACGTTGCTTCAGTTACTCAAACAAACACGGAAGGAATCATGACAATAGTTAAGCTAATAAGCTAATAAGTTAATATGCTAAAGTATATTTTTCTATTTCTAAATATGTTATTAACTAAATTATGGAGTTTTTTATAGTTTTTTCTTAAAGTTCACACAAACTTTGAATGACTGCGGAACAAAAACATTCTTTATAAAAAAAAAAAATCTTACATAGGATAAATGAAATGATATATATTATATATACTGATAATATGTATTTATTGAGCTCTAAACATTCTCAAACATATTGAATAGAATGCAGTATCATAACTGATACCCCCACATAACACCCACTTACAAGGTTTTTACCTTTTTTTAAAATTTACTGAGTGGTCAGTTCTATTAAATTCAGTAATTTAGTAATTCAAAGTACAATACAGTATACCCAATATCGTTTCACTCAATCCTCAATAAATTTTCCGAAGGCTGATAAGAGTATAATTTTTACTTCGTTTAGTGAATTATCTTATGCAGGCGCAAACTGTTCGAACTCCTTACTCGGAGTGGTGATTGTAGCTTGAAGAACATGTCCTATGAGTACAGTATTAGGCGATCACATTCGTACAGTTGTACGCACAATTGTACGACGATAGCTTTTAGCGAGTGACTAAAACTAAATTTGCCAAAACTTTAGATATACATATATAGTATATATAGTGCTACCAACTCATGAACTGAAATTCTGTGTATATTTTTTAGGATCATCTTTCCAATTTCAAATTCCGGGCACTTTGTACACTATACATAAAAGAAAACAAAACAATGTTTTTATTAAATACCAATGCGGCATACTTAAAACACTGAATGTACTCTAAGCTTTAGACATACCATAAGGGATGCACTTAGTAATACGTATTTATGGTATATGTCAGTCTTCAATATTAGTAATGAATTGCTATAGAAAGCTGTATTATTAACTGGGTCATTTCTATGATAAGTAGTGCAATCATTTAGGGAGAGTAATCAAACTTTGGACTTATGAGCTGTACGAATAAAAAACCGAAATCGTATTGATGTTGATTTCTACAAGATTTTGAATACCATTCCTTGAATTATTCAGGTCAGTAAGCAATCGAAACTCTCCTCTAAATATCTAGATATTATATTAGATTAATGCAGACTTCAACAGAAAAAAAGTTTTGCCAACAAATTAATTTACGCAGAGATAAATTTTTTCAGATTAAAATATAGAACTATTGAAAAACGATAGTTTTTAATGAACTTAGAAAAAATGGGTGTCTACTATGGTTAAGCTATTTTCATTAAGTTTGTCATGAAGAATGGTATCGCCAACTATGGTTGACAATTTTAAAATATAGATAATGAAATTTAAAGAAATTACTATCTAATTAGCACTGGATTACAAAAAAAAAATATACTTCACAAAATATTTTTTTCACTTACTAAACATAAAATAGAAGTAACATACAAAGCACTTTTCTTCAATTAATATTGAAGAGAAAAATTTAAATCGTCCGTTTTTTAGACCTAATACGTTTCGTGAGTACAACAATAGTTTAAATAAAAATTTGCATTGTATATTAATAATAAATAATAATGATATAACTTTCAGATAATGGCTATATCACAAATTAATATCATGTATCTTAGGATTTTGCGCGGTCTGCAACCAATGGGATTTATAGAGGGTCGTTCAGACGAATTATCCCGTATTCGGAGTGTAGTTGTGGTTAACATAATACCACCGGAACTTCGCCCGACTTGGACAAAACGGCTCTACAACAAGTTAACGGCATTATTAAACTTCTTTAAAAGTTTATTTATTAGAAGTTAATACTACAAAATTAACAACTGTAGCATTTCACAATTATTTTTGTTTATCTTGGAGTACTTTAAAGTAATTTTTTGCATGTAAACGTATTTTTTGATCTCTTATCAAATTAATAAAAGACAAAGCAAATTTATTGAAAAAGTTGTTTTTACAAATACAGACACACATACACATATATATAAAAATCTAGACTTACTCCAGACAATATTAAGCAACTTAATTTACAAAGTTAATCAAAAAGGAATTAACTTAAAAGAAATATTAGAGCAGAGGTAGCCGAATTGGTAGGGGACTTATATACAATAGAACATCATAACCATATTTAAAGTACTGAGCTGTATTTTTGGACCGTAACCTTACATTCAAGGAGCATCTTGAAACAGTAAATAAGAAAGTATTAAGTATTAACAATGCTCTTAGTTCCATAATTCCTAACTGCGGAGGACAATGAGTTATAACCGACAGATCATTTTTAACTAACTGACAGATATTCAATGCACATGTCATATCTAACCCGTCGGAAGCGACAGTAGTGAATTAAAGTATCACTCTACAAAATACTTTTAATACTTTTTTATTCAGTGCAAAAAAAAAAAAACTCATCTATTTACAAGAACACATCCTATAAACAAAGAGAACATCTACATACAAATTATTCTTATTAGAAACCGTGGATTAAAAACAGTGAAAAAACTTAAATCTCTAGCTTTCTAGCATTCACATCGCCTAGACTAATGGATGAAATAATAGAAATATTTTTTTCACTAAGAAAAAAACAAAATTTAATAAAATACTAATAGTTTGTGATAAATAAATAAAGTCGTTTGTGGTCTAAATTGATCTCAAATCCTTATATGGGAAAGTGAAACACTGGGAACTATTTGGATTATAAATTTGATGAATTAGTTGTCAGCCCAACATATTATTGAATTTGGCAATAGTAGTTAGACTATGATAGTAAGACATTCACAAAAGCTTTAGAAGAAAGACTGCTGCTTGAGTCTTTAAAACAGCGACATATTGCTTGGCTAAAGCTTTGAAAGTGGTAAAATAAATCTGCATTATTTGCAATAGATCACCGGAATTTTTGAAAGCATTAAATGTACTTGTAGTTGACCAGTTCAGCTTCCACAAGGAACGTTCCAAGGTCAGTGGCTTACGAAAACTAGTCAATATAACTCGCTCAGCAACAAACAGAAACATAGTAGTGCGGGGTCAATAATGCGCTCTACTCTCAATCTACTTTTTTTTAAAGTCGTTAGAGTTAATTAATTTTTTGTGATCTACTGAGGGTCATTATCGCCATTACTAATGTGATAGCTTTAATACGTAATTTATTATCTATTAAATCGCAAAATAAGAAAATAGTGTAATTTACTGTTCCTAAAATCTATTTTGTAGACTTCAGGATAATTGGATAATCACAAGTGGAGGTTTTTTCTTAATTGGATTTACCTGTGAGTATAAAGAGTTGTAGTCAAAGTAGTTGCCTTCACCATTGAGTGTTGTTGCGTTGCTGTTGCAATTGCTGCTGCTACTGCCGTTGCAATAGTTGAGCGGCGGCAATTGCTGTTGACTATTCGAAATCTCCAATCTCAGACGGGCACGTTCCACACGTGCCAGAGTTGGACTGTCTAGTATGGAAGAAGTGCGTGTGCTTGTGTGTGTGTGTGTGCGTGTTGGGGAACTAGAATTTGCATGCTGACGTAGGGAAGGCTGCATTTCTAGTGTGGTACATGTCGAAGAGGTTGAACCCGTTGTGGGTGTTGTTGATAATGTCGTTGCGGTAATAACCATATTTTCTTTTGGTTTTTCAAATATACTTTATATGTATTATATTTATATATATTTATATATTATATGTACATATAGTGTTTAACAAAATAATAATTTAAAATTTAATAATTATATAAAAATTCTTTTCTTCTTATTTTCTTGCTTTGTTTCGCTTTTTTCTTTTTTCTTCTTTTTACTTTTTCAAAGAAATCAAAAACAAACTAAAAAAACAACACTTGCACTTGCACAATTTATAAAAAATGAAATAATAACAATTAAACGAAAGCACTATTCAAGTGAAAACAATTAAAAGTAATTAACGCAAAAATTAAGTTAAACGTAAAATTAATTAATTTTTGTTTTGTATGTAAAATTCTCATAAAAAAATCGTCGCATTTCTTGTGCGTTCAATAGAACAACATAAGCAAGCGCCCTCACTCCCAAATTCAATACACCACACAACCATTCACGCGTACGAATCGTTGTTGACTGTCGTTCGAAGCGAACATTAACAAGTTTTTAATGTTTCGTTCCACTTAAGCAACTAAGCGACACAAATCCATGGAACAAAAATACCTTGCGAATGCTTGAGAACGGTCACAACTCGAGCAACAGACACAAACCAACTTTATTTCCCAATATTTTGCTGTTGAAAGCATTGTTTTGGGATATTTTCTCAAGCACTTGCAATGCGCCCAACATTTTAGTTGTGTTATGTTTGATGTTGGCGCGATTCCGCTTTGCATTTATCATCGTTTTGTTAGCTCTTAGGGATTCGTTGCGCTATGCGGTGCTCTGCACCGGTGGTTGTTGGCTTGTTTTGTATTGTTTTGTGTCTTCAAATCACACATGTTTGCTATTTGTTGTTGTTATTGTTTTGTTGTAAAACATGTTGGCTGACTTTGAAATTTTTATTGTTTAAAATTTCTTATCTCATACAGAAATTCTTTAGTTTTTTTTTTTATTTTTGTACGAAATTCTATTGCTGCTGTTGATGTGTAATTGCTTTGTCTTGTTCTTTTTTTTTTGGTTCCCCCTTTTATTCCTCTTCTTTTTTAATTAAACATAGTTCTTTTCTAAATTTTATTTTGTAGCAATATTTACCCAAAATTATTAAACAAAAAAAAAAAATACCCCTAAAATATGTTTGACAACTACAGCCAGCCTAAAGCCTGGTACTAAGCCGAATACTTCAAGCCGCTGCGTATATTAGTAACACCGATATACACAAGCACCTAAGAGTAGAAACGTTCAAAATTATTAAATATAAGGTGTTAAAATCTTTAAAAAGATAAATAATCGTAGAAGTTAAACTTTAAATATATTATACAAATACCCCCCCAGTATGTCATCGAACTGAAGGCAGATATACTGATTTAAGCAGTCTGATGTTATAGTCACACTGGCGAGACACATGAAATAATTTATAACCACAGAATGAGACAGTGGACTTAAAGAAGATATTCAGGGAGAGAAGTAAAGGCAGTAAAAAAAAGGTGCTAAGAGACATTAATTGCAATAAAACCAATAAGCTTTAGTTAAAAGTAGTGATTAAAGCTTTTGTACTTTAAAACCTTTAATCATAACTCTTGTCATAGATTAAGCTATAGTTCATGATAAAATAAAAGTTAGTCCTAAGATTCAACTAAATTTATAAAAATGTATATTTTATATTGAGTACATAAATTTAAATGAAAAGGTTTAATAATAAATAAATTCAATAAAAATTAAATATAAAGTTTTTATTATTTCTAAATATATTTTATTATAATTATATTACTCGCGTGCCACATTATAGTTAAAACTCTTTTAAGTGGATATTCATTATCAGCTCACTTTTCTTTGTACAAGACGATATCCAGCCGAATGTTGATAAGTTGTTATAAATAAGTTTAAAAAAAACATACTTAATTTTGAGTACAATTCTTCATCCAGTACGGATATGTATTCTACCAAGGCAGGGCTGTCCACACCAGATGCGATTGCGGACCATTACAGATTAGAGGGCCGCAGAAAAAATTTATATTATTAAAAATAATATAATATTAAATTAAGTTATATTAATTTATCAATTTAAAAATTATTTATTTGGTATACAAAAAAAATTAAATAACGTAGTTTTACCAGTACAGTAAATGAAAATTTGTGCAATTGTAGTAGATTAAAAACATGTCGAGGGCCCTGTACTAAGGTATCCGTTTTATTGAAACATCCATTAAGAGACTTTTCACTGTCTCATAATATCTGTTTTAGTGTCTCTTTTCACTCTAAAAACAATATGCTAATCCAGCATACAGGGTTATCCAAATAATGGTTTAGCGGGTTTAAATAAACTCAATTATTTTGAGGAACAACGTCTAATCTATATGCCGATAGGTGGGGAGAAACATAATATAATATAATATAATATAATATAATATAATATAATATAATATAATATAATATAATTTAATATAATATAATAATATAAATATAATATAATTAATATAATATAATTATTAATATTATAAATAATATACATAAATAGAATATAATACTATATAAAAATATATATCATATAATATAATATAATATAATAATTACATTACTATACCATTACATAAATACTATATAATACAATATATAATCTATATAACTATAATAATATAATTCATATAATATAATATAATATAATAAATATAATATAATATATATAATATAATATATAATATATATATATACCATATAATTATATAATATAAATATTAAATAATATAATCAACATATAATTCAATAAACATATTCAATTAATATAATATAATTAATATAAGAATATACATCATAAATATAATTATATAATATAATAATAATATAATATATATAACTATAATTAATATAATATAATATATATAATATAATATATTAATATAATATTAATATAATATCCATCTAATATAATCTAATATAATAATATAATATATAATATTATAATAATATATAATATAATATATAATATTATAATAATATATAATATAATATATAATATTATAATAATATATAATATAATATATAATATTATAATAATATATAATATAATATATAATATTATAATAATATATAATATAATATATAATATTATAATAATATATAATATAATATATAATATTATAATAATATATAATATAATATATAATATTATAATAATATATAATATAATATATAATATTATAATAATATATAATATAATATATAATATTATAATAATATATAATATAATATATAATATTATAATAATATATAATATAATATATAATATTATAATAATATATAATATAATATATAATATTTTAATAATAGATAACATTATATTATTATAATAATATTATAACATATATTATAATAATATAAAATATTATAATATTATTATAATATATAATATTATAATA